AAATGTGTGTGTGGTGCGGTGGGGAGGAATCATTTCTTCTTAGCCTTTTTGATCCCAAATTGAAACAAAGACCCTTCATTTTTATTTCTATCACATCAAAACCAATTCGTTTTTCTTGAAGGGATGAATAATTACAGATAGTTTTATGATGAGCTGTTGCTGTTTGTACTTTTCTTATTAGCCATCATTTGCCTTGCCTGAGAAAGCAATACTTAATTGAGGACCATGTTATATGTAAAAAGAAAAGGAGGACTAGTGGCACCTTAGAGACTAACCAATTTATTTGAGCATAAGCTTTCCTGATCTACAGTTAACTTCATCTGATGCATTCAGTGGAAAATAAATCTCCTCACTGTTTTTTTCACAGCATGCATCCGATGAAGTGAGCTGTCGCTCACGAAAGCTTATGCTCAAATAAATTGGTTAGTCTCTAAGATGCCACTAGTACTCCTTTTCTTTTTGCGAATACAGACTAACACGGCTGCTACTCTGAAACTTGTTATATGTAGGTGTGTGTGTGTGTTTTCTGTGGGCCTTTTTAGGCTATGGACTCTGTAAAATAGATCATTATTTTCATGAATACTGTAGCCATTGGACAGAAAGTACACTCAAAAATCTGTCTTTTTAAAACTTTTGCAAGTCTTTGCTATTTAATAAGCATAATATATTGAAACATTAAACCCTCTGGTTGAAAACTAAAAGTATACCTAGTTCATCTACAACAGTATGTGTTTATTTCCAGCATATTTCTTTTCGAGGGGAAAATAAATGAAATTCCAAAATTAATGCATAATGGAAGGAATGCTGAACTAAAACAAAACGGGATCAAATCTTGGTATGGAATCATTTGAGGACTAGCTTGAATTCTCAGTTCTTGTAAAGCAGCATTGTACCAGCTAAAAGAATATTATTTATTTTTCTATGGATTGTGAAATTCATCTGGCTATCATTTATTTTCTACTGGTAAAATAATAATAATTAATAATAATAAAAACTCGTCCAGGAGCTCTCCCTAGCACCCCAATACATAAGAAACCAGAGAAGTCTGATCAAAAGAATCGATATTTTTATTAGTGCTTCTTTTCTTTTTTAGGTCCATTTGTACCTACCAGGAATCGCCCTTGTTAAAAAGTACTCGCATCAGAAGTATTCTCCGTCATAAGACATGGTATTTCACCAAAATGTTCAGGGCTCTATAAATAATGAAGATGATATTGTGAGGTCATCAGTCAAGCTGTTTTGATTTTGCAACATTTGTCCCCAGTTTTCGGAACGGAAAATTCTGAAAAATGGAACTGCAGAGCAGTCAAAAAACAGAACAAACAGCAGCCTACCGCCTCATGGGCCACATATCTGCTTTTATTTCTAATTGCTCATTTTTCTTTTGAAGATTTTTTATTTATGGTCAGCACCAGGCTACGCCATTCCATATTTGGGGGTGTAAATATTACTGAGCAGTTTTAATTTAATTAACCCACTAGAATTTACTCTTGGCGATCAGTCCACAGCTTGCTATCTGAGGCAAATCAGCCCGTTTAAATGAGATAGCACTGAGCAATTGTATGAAATGAAATGCAGCTCCAAAGCCCGGCTAAGGCAGATAAGTGAACACAGGATGATCGACATAAACTGCTTCGGAAAAACCTTACCTCCTTCCCGAAAAGTTTGGCTTTTTCTCTCTCCTGCTTTCTTCTGCAGTTTTCAGAAGTCACTGTTCAATTGGGATATTGTGTTCCTGGACCCTGAGCCGGAGAATTTCTGAGTCCCTTTCATCCCCGCCCTCCAACCTTGTTGTCCTAATTTTCTGTCTGCAAGATGCAATAATAAATTGAATTGTAAAATTCAACCTTTAATTAAATCTATATTTCATGGGAATAGGAATTGTAAATGCCCTTACATAAACCTGGAAAAGATCGCGCTGTTATTTTTATTTATTACTTTGCCCGCTTTACTGAAGAAGTATACCTTAAATCCTTAATATTTATAAACTGGTTTTCTTCTGCGCTTGGTACCCGTTCTGTTCAACAACTGATTTCTCATAGACTCCCTCGATTATGATACATGATGTATTATACCTCTATTATGTTATTATAGGCATTTATTATAAAATCTTTAAAATTTAATGTTTAATCCTCCTTACACTCCTCATAAACAGGACCTAGGCTACACAATGTTAACTATTTCAGACAATATTCAAAAATAAAGGGTTGGAAATGGGTAAGGTCCCTTGGTAAGGCGAATTGGATTTTTGCTGGCACAGAGGGGGAAAAACATTTTTCAGTCTAGGTATAACCTCTTTGTTGCTTTTATATCCATCAACCATCTAAACCAGGGAGGTATTTTCTCCTGGAGATTTCTAGGTGAAGTGAAGTCATTCAATGGAATGTAAAGCGCAGGGATTTTCGTGTGTGTGTATTTAACCTTTCATTTAAAAAAAGTGAACGCTGGTATATTTGCCTATGGTTTTAAAATAGTTTTGATCCTTTTAAGGTGTTGCATCCCCGATTTCTTTTCTAGAGCAAGCAGGCATAATTCCTTTGGACTGATACTTTCTCGGGGACTTTGCAAGTCATTTTAGACGCTATCTGTGAAGTTCATTCTTGTCTGTCTAGACATTAATTAGGAACTGAGTTGTCTATTTTGCCTTGACCTTGGACTTCGACTTTTTTTTAAAAAAAGCTTTAGGCAAGGATTTCTGAAAACTAATGTCCCTTATCGACGACATGGCGTTCCCGTAAGAAAACTGAAAGTTTATTAAAAGCGCAGCTTTCACATCTTCCCCTAAAATGCTACTTTTCTGATTGGTTTGAGTTAGTGGAGTATTTGTTTTTCCACTTACTGTCGATTTTTTTTTAAATGGTGAAAAGACTTCATGTTTTTTTACTAAGGAAAAAATGCTACTGAAAAGACGCGAGTAACTCTCCGAAAATGGGTATTTAAAAAACCCTGCTATTAACATGGTATGTAAGCTATAGAACATATATCTCGAATAAATAATATTTATTTTATACGTGTATTATTGTAATTTTGGTCTTTTAAAATCTTACATACACAATACACAGCTAATTCAGATATGGAATTTTATGTCTCTGCCTGACTGTTTCATTCAGGAACATTCAAATAAGCAACTCCAGAATGCAAAAATCCCTCGGAGGAGAAATACCCTCTTTTAAAAACCTTGAGTAATATTAAAAGTGTTGGATAATGCAGAAAAGCAGGGGCTGGGTGATTAGAGTCCCCATCTTCTAAAAATGGAAAGAAAAACCTCATCCTACTTTCTCCAGGGTCTTTCTTATTCCTATTACACTGAATTACTTCGTGAGGTATTTCTTATCAATTATTTCTGGGGGCGGGGGAAATCAGCATGAGTTTCTTGTTACTTTTTCACACACCTTAAATTCACATTCTTTCCCATCATTACAAGAATGAAGACTGAAATGACCGACTTCCCAGAAATTAAGTTAGGGAACTTTATTCTCCAAGGGCGTGGGAGAGGGACAAGACCACATAAGCATCTTCCCATCAATCTCTCCCCAAGTAATTTGCTCTTCTTCTATTTTGTCTGTTTAATTATAATGCATCTATCTTGGATCCTGTTTACGTTTTATAAACTGAGTTGCATTTATTGTCTTTTATGTTCACACACAAATCAGCACTGGACCATTAGACCTGTTTCCCTTTGCTCCATAACCCACACTGTTGGTGCAATATTTATTACTGAAGTATTAAACATTCATAACAGGATCTAATAATATAATCGCTGCCGATCCCCTTAAAACCTCCCCAGTTTGTTCAGCACGAAAGATTAAGTATTATTAGTTTGGATTAATAGAAGAAACAAGAGAATAAAGCGTCTTGGAGGCAACCATTACTACAACCTTACTTTGTGGTAGCTGGGTTTAATACTAGAAAAACAGCTGCGGGGTGGGGGTGGGGGGGAGAGATAGAAAGGCACCTGGCAAAGAAATTTACAACAGGTTAAACCTCGTAAATCCCATGTTTCTTCCAAAATCAGATATTCTTTTCTAATATTGTTAAAGTGATGATCAACCACATGTATAGTTTGTATACCTTGATTTTGAAGCAAACTGACCAATTATTACTTACCCGGCGCGCGCACACACACATACACACAAAGAGGGAATGGATTACACACGCCTTATAGTGAAGTCGAGGTCTTTCTTTCACCTAATATCCCAGCGGACAACAACAATAAAAGCGTTTGAAGAATTAAAAATAAAGCCCAAGAAGGTTTACCAGGGAAGGCTGAACTATTAGACCTACCGGTCCTGTTAGTCTATGAGCGATGGGGAGGGAAGGAACAATATTCTACTATTGAGATCAGAGATCCTTTCCCCCTCCTTCATTCCATTTTCCTTATGAGGGTGATGGTGTTTATATATTTTTTCCATTGAGCTCCAACCTAGTAAAGGAGCCGTCTCATTCCTTAGCCCCCAAGGCATGCAAGTAAAGAATGAAACACTTCAGTGAGCTCACATCCACTGGCAGGTTTTATTTTATTATATTTTACTTTTAAAATGTTCCCAGTGGAGCTTTTTTTTTTTAACACACCAAAAAAACAAATCAATAATATATCCCTGAGATTTTTGAGGGCAGTTAGACTAGAACGTCATGTCTAAACCCAGCTCTTTGTGTCGGCCAAATATTGAGTTCCCATTCCCCTTATTTAGTCCTCTCCCTCTTTACAATCAGTGGGTGTCACCCATTGCCTTTAAAGATTTCTGTTTCTGTCCCAGACCCAGCCAATGGGAGCTGCCTCTTCCCTTCCCAAAGCCAGCAGGGACAAGCAGATAGGACTGGCGGAGGAACACGTGACCGGGCCAGATTTTTTGAGAGCTATTTGCAGGTCACGTGGCCCGGAGGATTTCTTAATGAACTGGACCCATCTCTGCGCATGCTCCTGCGTAAACAATATGTGGGGGAAATTAGGTGTCTCTGGTTGGGAAGTCGAGTTTTAAAAAGCGCAGGCAGACCATGATATGACGACTTCACTGATCCTGCATCCACGCTGGGCGGATACCTTTATGTACGTGTATGAGGAAAACCCGAATGAAAATAACCAGAATAAAACCCCAGCCATGGAGGCGCTAAGTGGGAACTGCCCAGCGAGCCACTGCAGGGATATAATAACTTTGGGTCGCCATTCCAGCACCATTGGGACTCACCAGGGTTCTGTCTACACGGATATACCCGCTCCAGAAGCTGCCAGGCAGTGCCCTCCTCCACCAACCTCTTCCAACGCCACCCTGGGCTACGGCTACCCCTTTGGAGGCAGCTATTACGGGTGCAGATTGTCTCATTCCCACAACGTGAACTTACAACAAAAACCTTGTTCCTACCACCCGGCAGAAAAGTACCCCGAACCCAGCGGTTCCATCCCCAGCGAAGAACTATCTTCAAGGGCCAAAGAGTTTGCTTTTTACCCCAGCTTTGCCAGCTCCTACCAGGCGGTCCCTGGTTACTTGGACGTGTCAGTTGTGCCAGGTATCAGTGGCCACCCCGAACCGAGGCATGACGCTTTGCTTCCCATGGAAGGATACCAGCACTGGGCTCTTTCCAACGGTTGGGATGGGCAGGTATATTGCTCCAAAGAGCAGTCACAGTCTACCCATCTTTGGAAGTCACCTTTCCCAGGTAGGGTGTTCTGAGCTCCAGCATGTTTGTCTGCTTACTAACCGCCAGGTAAAAATCGCTTTGGAATGCCTTCTATGCAGTGCTATGTGTATGAACACGTACGGGTGAGAAGGTGAAGCAATCATGTTTAAATCAAAATACATACCGTGAGCTTGAGGTTGCTTTAAAAGTAAGTGTGTCCGTTTCCTTTCCTTTCTCGTCTCCCCTGCCTTGCCTCACCCGACGGGGTCTGTAGCTGTTCTTTTATGTTTTTATTTTATTTTATTTTATTTTCCACCCAAGTTTCTGAACGCAGGAAGCGTAAAACTGCCTGCTCACCTCCTAATCTTTCGCTAGAAATGTTAGATGGCGTGTAATGGTACAGTAAATCATGGTGCAATTACAGAAATTGGTGTCAAGTGACAAATGAATCTTGTTAAGGGAAAGGGGTGAGACAAACAAAACACAGAACAATGATTTCCTCTTCCTCTAGTTAGAAGTCTTGAATGAGATACAGCGTGCAAAGCAACCGGAAAGCTTATGAGTTTGGGAGAATCTCCTCCTTGTTCTCTTGCCGCTTATGAAATTAATATCACCGCCTCTTACAGGGTTCTTTTCTCGCAGTTAATATCAAGGCCTGGCATGGTGATCTGAATGAATGCATTGCAGTAAAGTAGGACTGAAGATTTTGGGTCCCACACCTAAAGAGCATTCATCTTGGAAATATATGGGTTGCTGAATCCGGCTTTATTTCTCAGCAATGGTAACAGAGAGGCCGGATAGGCAGCCAGAAAATAAAGTAAATTAATGTGGCATAATGTGTGTGTGTGGGGGGGGGGGGGGGGGTTATACCGTACTGGAGGAAGGAGGGAGAATCTCCGAAATCCCTTTTAGAGCTTGTTGGGTTTCAATGGCTCTTTTGGAAACATCGATTAAAATACTTTCTTTTTCCTGTTTAGAACCAAATAAATAAATGAAATCCAAGTGGTGGTAGGGAAATAGCTGGCTAGCAGGTTCTTCTCTTTCCCAGATATAGTATTTTGTGTGAAAACCTGTTGGCAGAGATCCACTTGCCAAACCTGGAGCAAATGGAACCGTTCATAGATAACATTCAGCATCCGATGAAGTGAGCTGTAGCTTACGAAAGCTTATGCTCTAATAAATTGGTTAGTCTCTAAGGTGCACCAAGTCCTCCTGTTCTTTTTACGGATACAGACTAACAGGGCTGCTACTCTGAAACCATTCAGGAGAGTGTCATCTTCTGGATAAAGATATGTGCCTGGTTTTTTTTTGGGGGGGGGGGGCGGGGGATTGCGGTGGAGGCAGAGAGTCTACTCACTCACCTATAAGTGTTTTTCTGGATGTTGGGTTCACTGATCCCCGTTTCATTTGCGGGCAGTACTGATAAATATATGGAGAATTTCCATGGGGTGTGGGGGAGGATTCCTAATACTGTATCTTTGGGCCTTTATAGAAGTCCTTAGTAGATCTTACTGAAGCTGTCATTCTTATAGCAAGCAACAAAGAGAACAGCAGTGCAAAATGTTGGAGAAAGATGGTGTTGTGTTGTTGTTTTTTAAAAATCCATTGTTGTCAATTATAACAGTGGACTTTTGATACCTGCCTCAATTCGTGCTCTGGAATTGAGCGGGCTCTGAATCGTCTGCGACTCTTGGATTCGTGTCTTTGTCACCCTTACAGAGATAAGGAGCCTTTTTCATCTCATATCTGGAATTCTTTCCTTAAATGACTGTAGTCTGCACGTGCAAAGCCCGAATACGATTCATTATCGAGGTTTGGCAGTGAACAGCCTTAGAATAAGGCAAAAGTGACTAGACAAGCTTTGCACACGAATCGCTGGTGTAATCTAAGGGGGTAATATTTCTTAATAGTTTGGGTGCCTCTCAAGAAAGGAGAGAACCAAGATAACTTGTCACCTTTTTTTTTTTCTGTTTTAATCTGAGGCTTTTTTTTTTTTTTTTTTTTTTAATGCATCAACCCAACCTGCAAATTAGCAACTGATGCCGAGCAAAGTCCCGGCTTTTTCAGATTGCAAATGGTACCCGCGCTGCAGAAGATGGATTGTACAGAATACACAGCAAGGAGCTGTTTGTTTGTCCAAAGTGCTGCGATCCATCGTGCTGAGCCATAAAAATCATAATTAATGAGAGCACGTACGCTGTCTGGTAGTAATGGTAAAGCGAGATATTAAAGTTTACTGGAGGTTAAAAAAAGAAGAAGAAGGGAGAAACTTTAAAACCACAACTCCAATTTACCTGGTATGAAGGTCCGTTGGATTTGTATTGCAGGATATTTTGTTAAATTAATTGATGCTCCTTGTTTATGTCTGAAATCCCACCTAGACAATATCTCCTGGAATACCAGGATTCTTTCCAGGATGATGTTTTGATATGCTACTCAGTGAGTCCGTCCTCCTCCCCCTTTCTGTCTGTCTGTCTTTCTCCTCCGTTCGGACCCAGAGAGTAGAACTATGTAACTGCTTTATCTGTCTCCTCATCTTGCAGATGTGGTACCTCTCCAGCCAGAAGTGAGCAGCTACCGTAGGGGCCGGAAGAAAAGGGTCCCCTACACGAAAATCCAACTGAAAGAACTCGAAAAGGAATATGCAGCCAGCAAGTTCATTACCAAAGAGAAGCGTAGGAGAATTTCGGCTACCACCAACCTTTCTGAACGCCAAGTCACTATCTGGTTCCAGAACCGCAGGGTCAAAGAGAAAAAGGTAGTTAGCAAATCTAAGACACCTCACCTTCACGCTACCTGACAAAGAAATATTTGAGGGGGTGGCGGGAAAAGAGAAAGAAATACGTACGATTATTATCTGATACGTCTGTCTAATAATAACATACATTCGAACTCTTTGGTGATTCAATTGGTCATTTAAAAACGAAAACAAAAACACAGAAATAAACAGCATCTTTAGTTTATTCCTCTGCCCTCTTCTACTGTCCTCCGACTGTGAATATCTAATTGCTCTCAAGCATCCATCGATAATGTTAACCGTGTCTATTAAATGCAAATGTAGATTTGTTATGTTTCAAAGACATGAATCCTGAATGTTATTTTGTAACTCTGTATAATAGCCTACCCCCCACCCCCACCCCCCGCACCTTCTCCAGTACACAACCTTTCATATCTCTGGCTATTTCACGCACTGATGTCAAATGTATGGAGAGTCTCGCCCCTGTAGCAGAATCCTGTCATGTTATATTAGCTGAATATCCTTTCGCCTCACAGGACCCCCTAAAAATAAGGCTGCTATGCTGCGAAGAGAATATTTTTATTATAATTATTATTCTGTGTCACTTGCAAAAATAACAAATACTAATTTAGGTCACCCAGGAAATGAAAGTGACTTGCTATATAATACATTTTTGAGGGTAAGTTCTCATTGGGGTTTATGTATCTCTGCCATCAAACTAGAATGTCTCTTTTTTTCGAGGACAATATGGAAAGTCCCCCATATTGTCACTGGTTTGGTTGTTCCCCCCGCCCCCTCCATGTAAATCGGCTCATTATCGACAGTGTTCTTTCGATATGTAAAAGCGATCTTTTTTTTTTATGTCTTGTGTATGTATATAATAGTGTGGTGTCCAAATGATATGTACTGAATGCAGATCACATTTCTTAAAAATAAATATCATTTTTGCTTTGAGAATGGATTGCTACCGAGATGTTATTATGGGTATTTATACATATATGTGTATCTATTTAACTCTTTCAAAGCAAAATCAGAGAGTTCGGGATTTACACCATTGTAACCTCATGCCAAAGTAAACAGCTTGGAAAGAATGACGCCCCAAGGCTAAAACCCGGTAGGGAAACTGTCAGAAGGGTGCATTTTGAAATGTGTATGATGAGCAGAAGTGCACTAAAGGAGTCAACACCTTGAAGCCAAAATATGGGAATATAAGAAAAGGTGTTATGATGCCTTGTTTCGAAGGAATATGGTATAAGCTTGTTTCAAAGGGGTAAAGGAGTAGTGGTAAATGGGATGAAAAAATATGCTTAAATCAAGCAGAAGGGGTGCCATTTGAGAAGTGGGGGAAGGGAAAAAGGCTCGGATCCTTTTCTTCCTTGGACAACAACTGTATTCCTGTGCCAGGGAGCGGGGGAGATGATGTTTTGAAGAAGCTTGTCACCTAGCTCCACTATGAGAATGCTTTGCTCAAAAGGTGTATTTTGCTAAACCAGTTTGACTCAACCGCGTTCACAGATAAAAATCTAAACCCTGCCTTACTGTTACTAAACAAGTGGCAAGATCGTAATCCGTAGCCTGGCTGCGTTGTTTAATATGCCAGGTAAAAGGCTGCCTTGGAACGTGGTAGACTTTCAGAAGTGAGCTACTTTAAATGAAGAAAGTGTTTTAAAAATATTGTATAGTAATTTGTTTCCATAGGCGGGTCACAATATACCTTAATATCCATTAAAATTAATTACCTCGTTAAATTGTCAAAGGAAAAGACAAAAAGTGATGTAACCTAAAACACTGTTATTTCTGCTTAAATTTATATTAACTAGTGTATATAGTTACATTTAAAGGGTACGAAAGCCAGAAACATGCAATAGAATGGGATGTGTATATGTATAATGCATAGAATGTATATATACAAAGCATATGTATGTACGTATTAAGATATAGATACCTGATTTATATATATATATCAGCACTTGTTTTAACATAACGAGAGCAACACACGCATATATACCTATGTGTGTGTGCACGAACACTATTTTAATGCATGTGCTGATTACGAAGTACATAATGCATATATACACGGCTTTCATGAAACCCAATATCCTGAAATTCTATCACGTATTTTAAAGTTTCTAAAGGTATCTCCAAATATACTTATGGGCATGGAACATTCCGCAAGCGTTTATGTGTTCCCTGGCGTATTTTATAAAGGAGGAGATGGAACAATGCCAATAGGGGTTCTTGAGTTGAAATAAATATTCGGTCATTCTCAGCACTTAAAATCTTCCTCCATCAGGTGTGTGAACGAACAGAGAATAACTTTTCTTAAACATCTGATGAAGTGAGCTGTAGCTCAGGAAAGCTCATGCTCAAATAAATTGGTTAGTCTCTAAGGTGCCACAAGTACTCCTTTTCTTTTTGCGAATACAGACTAACACGGCTGTTCCTCTGAAACCTTTCTTAAACATGCGGTCGTTCCTGAAATGGTTTTTCCAGGTAGTGAAATAGGCTCTTCCATATCTTTTTCCGACATAATGCCGATATTTTTTCGTGAGGGTGATGGCTTATATAGGAAGGAATAATTTGGAAGGAAATGTGAAGATAGATAGATAGATAGATAGATAGATAGATAGATAGATAGATAGATAGATAGAAGCACTTTGTGTGCGAGTATATATATGTGTGTGGGTGTATATATATATATATATATATCTATATATATTAATATAAGCGAGGGACATTATATATATAAATGCCTCTCGCTTATCTTAATATAGACACCTACTGAAAATTCACCTCCATTTACCTAGGCCTCAGATGAAATGAGTCTGTATCTAAGCCCTGTTCGGACTTAGGGTTTAACATGGACACACTTTCCAAATTCATCTTTTAAAGCATTTTCTTCAAGGGTGGGTTTGCATTGTATAAAACCACACTCATTTCAGACGCATGTGCACGCGGCTAGATGCTGATATATCATGTAAATACTGATACTGTGCTGATCTATCAAAACACAAACTGGACAGTTCCGGTTCAGACCTGCTGTTCATGGAAAGAAGTGTAGAACTCTATCGCCTTCATTGGAGTTATGAGGCTGGGGGAGAGATTTGTAATTTGTATTTAACCAGGTGGGTTAATTGTTTTTGTGTTGTTAGGGATTCCTGTGAGAAAGTTTCCACTTCTTAAAGTCTTTTTCACCCAAGGGTTCAGTCCCTATTTATTCAGATTGAAAAATCTATCTATCTATCTATCTATCTATCTATCTATCTATCTATCTATCTATCTATCTATCTATCTATCTATCTATCTATCTATCTAATTTTTTTCCTATCTAATTTTGCCGAATGAGTTAAGGAGACCGGTTTTGGAGGCTGATAGAACGAAAACGAAGTCATTTTTTAAGTGCCTCTTACATTCCTCACGACCCCACAGGCTGGATTTTCTCCCCCCTTTTTTTTTTCTTGCAACAATAAGAGTAATCGGTGAATCAGGGCAGCTCGCTACCTTCTTACAAGGTAATTAAGTATGGAAGATTGAAAAAGAAAGAAAGAAAGAAAGAAAGAAAGAAAGAAAGAAAGAAAGAAAGAAAGAAAGAAAGAAAGAAAGAAAGAAAGAAAGAAAGAAAGAAAGACGCAGGTCCTTCACTATTTTCTGTGATAAACATCAGCGAAGTTGTGTCTTAAACCCATGTCTGGTGTAAATTTTCAAACACGCACACGCTCTCAGCTTTCAACACTTGCCTCTTTCTTTCAGATGTCAAACTTCCGAGGTATCTTTGATTATTGTATTTATTTATTTTTGAAGGAACCCGGATCAGAAGGCCATGACGTCAGCTCTGGATTACCCTTGACCGTGACTAGGCGGTCTGTTTGACCTTGACATCATGAGTTTCGTGCATATTAATCAGGAAGACCACAGCCTTGATCTTCTGGCAACCAGTCAGCAGTCAGAGTTCTCTAAGTATCCCCTTTTTCTGTTTACAGATAAAAAAAAGGTGTCATTTGAAGTCTAGACAGACGGGCTAATGACCAACAATAAAAGCATGAAAAGGAAGTTTCACAAGTTTTGTCTTTTCTTTCCTTTGTATCAAGTAGTATGAATAACTTCTTAACCAAGGTCTTTATAGCGAAATGCTCCTTATTTCCCACCCTTTTCCTCCATTTTCAGTTTTCATAGTTCTGGCTCACTCACTTTTGAAGAATAAATTGCTAGTCTTGAGGGAAAATGTGGTTTCACATCATTGAGTTGTATGTGGAGGTAAGTGTAATTGTCAGTGGGTTGAATGATGATAAATGTATATCTGGAACATGGAAAATTTCCAGTCTTTGTTGAGATATTTTTAATAGTAAAAGAAGAAAACAAAAGGAATTGCCCTCTGTATTTGTCAAGTAATTCTTTTTAAAGTATCTATCTATCTATCTATCTATCTATCTATCTATCTATCTATCTATCTATCTATCTATCTATCTATCTTCCACAAACTTCTTGTTTTCTGCTCATTTAGAAATATGAGATGACTCTTGTATATGTTTTAGCACAGTGTCAATGGGTTTTGAAGCCAATGTGTTTATTCGCCTTTAGGAAATATATTTATACATAGAAAAGTTAATATATTTATTGTGATGCACTTTGAATGAAAATTACTGTCCTGTGGACATCTCAAACTTTTTTGGATGACAATAACACCATAAGAAGATTTAATAAACCTGTTCTAGCCCTAACTTCTCCACCAACCTTCACCCACCCACATGAAGAGTAAAGAACATAAAATATGTTTGTAAACATTCTGCACGCTCTGAAACAGAGTTTATCTTGAATCCTTGCATATTAAGTTGCTTGTTGATACAGGGTCCACGCCTTGAAATGACAGTATGCAGCGCCAATTGTTGTTTGTGAGAAAAGTTGAGTGTCATGAGCAAAATAAACTTTTCTGAAGTTACCTTACAGAGGATGTAGGCATCAGTTTACATTAATCCGGCAGGAGGATGATATCCTCTGCTGGCAGTGTTGGGGAAAATGGAGTAGCATCATAAGCATTTAACCTTTAAGTGCACTGAGAAGACTAGAGCGATGTAGGTTTTCTTATTCGTTTAACCTGATTTTTTGAAATCAGAACAAACACAAATATTTTGCACATTAAATCAAATCAAATCAAAGGACAGCTGACTCTGGACATTTTCACACAGATACATCGAACAATCTTCGACCTTTTGATTCCCCGCTCCCCCTTTCACCACTCTGTGTTCCAGTTTACTACCCTATTCCTTAAAAAATACTTTCCCTACCAGAAATAGCCAATTCCAGTCATTTAGATTATATGTAACGGGATTGAAATAAGGAAAGTCCTATAGACTTACCTTAGTCAGTGCATATTTTATTCCTCTTTCAATTTATTTTTCTAAATTCTGTCTTCCGGCCAGGTAACTAACTTTTCATTGATTAAATCCAAACTCCTTAAAAATCCAGCATGTTTTGCGAGAAATTCAGCTAGGAAGATAAAGTAGTTATTAGAAATGTCTAATCAAAAAGACACTTTTTTATTTCACTCTTGTTAAAAAATATAACAAAATATGCAACTTATTGCAATATCTTTGGGATAGAACATTTCCAAGAGCGAATTAAGTTTATTTATGTTTTCTTGGGGAAAAGTGAGGGATATAGCCTTAGTTCTTTAAACTTAAAACGTAAATATCTTGGTGGGGGCCATAATTAATTTTTAAAACACTGATCCAGGGGAAACAAAAGAGTATATTCAAATGAAGGGTGCAGTTGAGATAAACCCTGTGGAATATTCAGAGAAGAAATCACAAGGCAGTGTGAGGGAAATGACATTTCACAAACTACACACATTAGGGCAGAACTGTTTTGAAATCGGAGACCTGCTAAGGATAATAAAATATTAATAAATAAGAGAACTTGGAGGACTGTGCATGGGGAGAGGAGTGTAGCCAAAAGTTAAGGCTTTTTCTGCCTCTTCTTTCCACTTGCAGTGACTGATGCTCTTTCGAGACATTAATTTGCATAACATGTAGATCCTATTTACTACACTAGACAGTGACCTTGAACTGCCTGGGTGCGATTTCACTTTGCTTCCCCCCTACCCCCCCCCCCCCCCAAGTAGCTATTACTAATTTATAGTTAGGTTGCGTGTGCCTTAATATAAAAGGGAACCTTTTCTACTTCCTTGCTCGGATGAGTTTGTCTGTGAGGAAGAAGGGAAATATTATAAATAGATGAAAATGATTAATTATTTGTGTCTAGGTCTCTATCTGCAGTGGGGTTGATTTTAAAGAGGTGAGGCCTAGTGACGCCTCACTAAAGGTAAAACAACTTTGTGAACGCTTTTGGGGTGCTTAGTGCTGATATTGTTATTTATTAAAGGAGGTAGAAATAAAATAAAATAAAATAAAATAAGCATGGTTTCATCTGAAAATTCATCATGGTGTCTTTAGGGAAGACTCAGATACACCTGGTACACGGAGTTGCAGCTTTCTTAAATTAGTGATATATATTAATTAAGAAATATTAAACTGGTATTCAGAATGTTTTATTTTAAGCACTACGGTATGTAATTACATTGCTTTGCAACAGCCGTCGGAGTGAATTTTAAAAGCTTAATCATTAGTTTTTAACTGAAAATGTATCTTTCATGGAAAGAGATCCTGGTAGAAATACAACAGCTTTAATAAATAATCTCTAAGTATTTCTTTTCTGTTGATCTGTCTAATAACTGTAAAAGGGACGCTGACTCTGCAACTACAAAACGATACAATTAAGAAATCTGCTCATGTTTCCAAATGAAGGCCATTAGGGGAATATATTTATGCTTCCCGCTGTATATATGCTAACTCATTTCCTGATGTGGAAGTCCAGCGAAGAGTTAACAGAGTGTTTTAAATAATTTTTCTGAATGCACTGATCTCACTAGTAACAAAATTCCCTTAGGTGAGATTCTGGAGCGCAGGTTTGGATTCACTCGATGCAAAGCCCAGTATGGACACTGTAGTCTGCTTTTTGACACTTCGCATTGGAGGGTGCCGTACAATGTTCAAATCACAGAGATAGAAGGATGACTGAATATGCATCGGCGGCTAAATGAGAACAAAGCCATGTTCCTTACGTGCACCGCCTTATAGCGAATTTCGCTGAAAAAGGCCAAGAAATAAGAACGAGTTTTCTTTAAAAAAACAAAAAAACAAAAAGCCGATCCATATGGCGACCTACCCAGATCACATGCCCATCATCGTATAAACGATTATTTTCCACGGTTGCAAAGCGTTCAAAAATGTGTTCTCAATCGAGCACAATGTACTTGGAAAAAAATCAAGCAGCTTTTTAGCCGTACCTGGAAAATAATTCCTGGAAAGCGGAAAAATGTACTCAACTTTCACTCCAGTGAAACAAATCCTGTAGCAGAATTTATCGCTGCGTATACCATGTAAAAGTGAGGGACTGCATATACGCACACATATTCACCTATTACATTTACATGTGTATATATGACACGTGCAGGGTGGTTTTTGAACATTTTTGGAGCTTACCATTTAATACAATTACCAAAGCAATTGTTTGATGTTTGATTAAGATGTAATTTTTCTGCATAGCTGGGAGAACTGTCAGTTTAGCTTTAGCATTTTCCCGAGGGAAAATGACTTTGTATTCTAGTAGCCTCTCAAATATAAAAAGCAAAGGAGTACTTGTGACACCTTAGAGACTAACAAATTTTCTTTTTGCGGATACAGGCTAACATGGCTGCGACTCTGAAACCTCTCAAATATAAGATACTTATTTTGTGCTCCATGGAATCTCAAAAATTCGGGGTCTGCCGTTCAACTCCTATGTGTTTAACATTTCTACCACCTCCCACGTTAGTTCATTAGAAGCCTTTTTACCTATACAGGAAATTTAACGGTAGTTTTCCAAGTCAACTTGGTGTCAGTGCTCTTGGAAGTTGCTAGCAAGGAAAATCCCAAAGACATCCAAGAAATCCTGTATGTAGTTTTTTCTTTAAAAAACAACAACCCCAAACCCTTCTCCATCTCTAAAGCGTCTTTTCTTCGCCTCTTCCTGGGTCCGGGCTCCCTTACAATGGACTTTTTAAAATAGTAATTTATTTCCCAATGTATTTATTATGCACTGTGATACCCCAACAATGTTTGTCCTGTATCTCTTGGAAGCAGCTTTTTCATACAACCGACTCTCTTCTGCAACCCCCGAGTGAAGAAGACCTTAGTTGTCACGAATACCCAATAGGTCGTTATAAGAGGGCTAAGAACCGGATTTCTTTTTTTCGTGTATTTCTTTATTTACTGTGTGCGGGGGTGGGAGTTGGTAATAAAGAAGTTTTCTTTGCAGAAATGAAGGCAGAGGAGAGCGATATTTTCCTCTTCCTCTTTTGTCTTGCTTATTTGGCAGGGATCATTAACAAAAGCGAGTGGGGAATGAGGAAATTATGGGCTTGTGATTCCTGAATTTAGGATTGTCCCTAGCAGGGATGGAACTCGCCTTTCCCCGGTACCGAACGCCGGGCAGGAAACATTCCTATTGTTCCAGATAAAACTCTAAAATATCTACCGGGCTGCAAATATGTTAAAACTCTTTCATCCCATCAACTGTAAATATGACCCTGTTGCGGTTCCAATCATTCGTCTCCTTAAAGAGCCAGTAAACTTTATATGACACAACATCTAATAGTAATTTATTGGGAGATATTGTAAATTTCAACGGTTTTAGTTAATAAAGGGGCTAATTAATGAGAAAATTGCTTAATTTTGCCAGCCGTTGGAGGGACCCTAACTACAGCTGGGGGAAGGGTGTCATTTATATATATTGATATGGTGTCTATGTACATTTTTACAATACATGGGGTTTCTCAGGCCAGTGCTTAAACACGTTGCTTTATTTTATAAAATGTTTTATGATTATATTTTCTTTAAAAAAAAAAAGGCGTATAAAAACGAAAGGCAGAACTTAATGTTTTGTTTTGCCTCCGACTGCCAAGGGTGGGTGGCACCTATCTCCAACGCGAGTTGGCGCCCACGTGACCCCACTCCGACCAATGGGGTGGACCTTTAGGTTTAACTATGTTTAATGTCAGATAGCAATAAGCTAGAAGCTCCTGGTCAGGCCCGCGGAAATGGGCGAGCATAATCTCCTTAATCCTGGGTTTGTGGGACCTTTGGTGAACATCCACACGGGAGACACCTTCTACTTCCCCAATTTCAGAGCTTCCGGAGGACAGCTGCCTGGCTTGCCGTCTCTCTCCTACCCGAGAAGGGACAATGTTTGTTCTTTGCCCTGGGCATCCACAGAGCCCTGCAACGGATATCCCCAGCCCTATCTCAGCAGCCCCGTGTCCATTAACCCTTCTTTCAGCAGAGCGTGCGACCTAGCTAGAGTGGAGGAGAGTAAATGCTACTACAGGGAGGCTTGCTCCGAGACTGCCAGCCTCAAGAGGGAGGAAAGGGTCAGGGACAATGCTTTGATGCCACTTGAACCTGGGATTCCCAATGGAATGAGCGGTAATTTCAGCAAATATGACTATCCGGCTGCTGAGACTGTGTCCCACGATCCCCCTTCTTGTCAGTCCTTGGAGTCAGACTCCAGCTCATCCTTACTCAATGAAGGGAATAAGGGCTCGTCCAGCGAACCAACTACAATGGTCTCGCCTATCAACCAAGGAAGCAATCTGACCACCGGTGGTAAGGAAAAGCAAAGCAAAGGAATATGTGTGTGTTGTTAGCTGTGATTCTTATGATGTATTGTAAGGCTCTTCTTCTAAGGTCCACTCTTGTGGATATAATTCATGGAATTAGCAATGGAATCAGCATGCCTATATGTGCAGAGACCACTAGGGGTAGCACTCAAATGCCTAATGTTTTATTGGGTGCTGCTTCTTTTAAAAGAAAAGCCTATAAACATGTAAATATCCCATAAAATAGATAGTGATTGCACAGATAGCCCCGAATATGCTCGTTGAGATTGAGTACATCATTCGCCCTTGCATAAAATGTTTTAAGGCTTGGGAAAGGTGTGCAGTGGGGTGGCTGCCCGAGAGCTGAAAAACTAAGTACAAAGGTGATGCTTAAAAAAGGCAGAGCTGGGTACATTGAAGTTGTCATGTCAGGCGAAAGGATACCACATCCAACACGCTGATTTCTACCTGTTGGCTTTCCCCTTATTGATTTTTCCCTTTTAAAATTTGGAAGGCGCCATAAAAATACCCCTAACCCCCCGCGGCATCGAGGAGCCATAAAAATACCTATAATGGTGTCTTCCATTATGTATATTTTCTTCTGCAGGGAAGCAGTTTCAACAATGTTTAGCTGATTTCCATATCGTAGGTTGCTTCTTGATCTATCATGTATCCAAAAAGTAGAACCATGCGTGATTTAGGTCTGTTCATCAAGCTTGTAACTAAAATATAGATCTATGTATCAGTATTGTATGCAAAAGTTAGCAATATGTGCCTCTCACGTATCTAAGACACAGATCTATGTATCAATTTTGTATATAAGAATACATCGATGTATACACTGTACCAATTAGATAAAAGAAATAACTCTTAGTTAAATATCGTGCACCCAATATGTAGATTTATGGGGCAGTCTGAAATACATATATGCATCTAATATATAGATCTATATGTCAACCCTAAGTAAGAAATAGTTCTGTGTGTCTATCTATGCATCAGTCAGATCTATCAAGTATTGCAGACCAAGATTTATGAATCTCTCTTGCGTGAGATACCTCTGCCTTGTACCCTCTGATGTTGCTATGAGGTGAGCGTTACAAACTGTGAATGCAGACGAGGGGCAGGGAAGTGCGGGAAAGATCCTATCTTGGAAGCCGACTTTGTTTCTTCCAGTGTATTAAATTCTCCTTTCAATCACACGTCCTTAGGTGCTCCTTGGTACCCGATGCATACAAGGTCCCGGAAAAAGCGAAAGCCTTATTCCAAGCTCCAGCTAGCAGAGCTGGAAGGGGAGTTTATGGTCAACGAATTCATTACCCGCCAAAGAAGGAGGGAGCTCTCAGACCGATTAAACCTAAGTGATCAGCAGGTGAAGATCTGGTTCCAGAACCGACGCATGAAAAAGAAAAGACTGCTTCTGAGGGAGCAAGCTCTTTCTTTCTTTTAAAGTTCAAAAAGCGTCCATGTTGGTTAACCTCATAGACTTTCTAGTGTTCATCCTAGCTGATGGTCCCGGGACTTTACCTGATCACTCATAATTTTCTTTAAAAAACAAAAACAAATCAGCGGGCATATATAAATATGAGAATATGCATCTCCTTCACTGGAACTGTTGGGAAAGACCCGATGTGAATGCGCAGCTCCCCAAACCCACCCATCAGCCAGAGTTGGTTTCTATGGTCTAAAAGATTGTCAGCAGCATTGTGTATAATCTGAGTGTGATGTCGAGTACGACCCACTATCCTTTCATTGACAAGCCGAACAGGTATGGTTTCCCTCCAAGCAATAAGGTTTGTTGGGTTGTGTGCGATATTTCCCCCCGACCCCCGACTGCTCTGGTTTTGTGGTTGGTACCTATTCCAGACAGCATCGAAGATCAGTCTTAGAACCAAGTCACCATCCTGTATTGTAACGAGGTTCTAGTACTGGGTGTTCATTCTCTGGAGTGGATGGATGTGGCTCCTTAATTCAGCTCCCGCCCGTTCTTAGGGTGAACGGTTCGCCAGTGGTGCATATTTCCAGACCCATTTTCACTACAAGTGGAGGGTTCTCGGCGAACAGAATAACTGGTTTGCTCAGAATCTGTAGGAAGAAGACAGAGGGAAAGAATGTATAGCAATGTGTAGCTGGTTGTCCCTGAGCTGGGAACTTAGCTCGGATACATGGCGCTTCTTGCATGGTGCTTTGCTCAGAATAAAAGGGATGATATTAGAACGAGTCCAGGCCCCGCACCCACCCACCCCGCCACACGCTACCCCAAAAATCCTTCGAAGCAAAATGGAATTTACTTCCAAATTAAACTGGAAGATTCCCTCTGAAACCAAAACCAAACGCGTTTTCTGCGATGCCCCCAATTGTATTCTTATTAGCGGCCACTTCAAGTCATTGTATGTGCTTAAACACAACTCCGCTGCAGGAGTATTCGTGCCGTTTCGCAGTGCTTATTGATTGCGGCATAGAAAAGAAAATACCCTTTTGTGGCATTCAGTGATGGCGTCAATTAAGCTAAAAAATATACTTCTTCCTATAGCTGTCTTTAAACATTAACTTCATCGCTTGGTTTTTATTTTAGAAATGAAGGAGCAGGTTGTTGGGTTTTTTAAAGATGACTTCTAGTCAAGTAGGCAGAAAAACACAAAAATCAGTGGCTGCTTTCCCTCGGAAACAGACATCCAGAGCAGCGATAGTGACACATTCAATTTTCCAACACCCGCAGTTCTTCCTTAACTCAGACAATCCCCACATTTATGGGGGTGAGGTCTTTTTATTTAGGAAAAACGTGGACCCGGTCATTTCCCTCCTTCCCACACCATTCATACCTCTTAGGCCTAGTGTGCTACTCCTTCACCGAGGGGCTAGCTGAATATTGTGTGAGTTTTTTGGGGGGGGGGGTTGCGTTTTTTTGGGGGGGAAGTAGGTGTGTTCCGATTTACTGCAGAAAAATAATCTTTAGTTTCATCATAATGTGTGTGTTCCATCAGCTTTGTACGGAGTCCACAGCTTTCTTGGAAAGAAATGTAGCTGCAGGGCTGGGGCAGATATTTCCTACCCTTCTGCCAGCAAAGCAATATTTAGAGAGGGTGGGGGACACTAGTTACTCGGGTTAAGATAAAAGGGGACGCTGTAGCTTAGAGTTTTGCCACTACAAGCTTTGCTTCATTCGTTTTATATAGGATGGATTAATTTTATTACAAAGCAACGTTCTCTGGGAAGCCTAAATTATTACCACGTGCTGCCGGTTCTCTGCGTTCATGGTCATGACCGAACAGTGGTGGCAAAGAATGCCTTTATTTACGAGCTGCAAAGGGCGCATTCTAGTCCTTAAAAATGCCTCCCGGTTTGAAAGCTGGCCTTTTCTTCAGCTCTATTTCCCATGTCTGTGCCAAAAAACCCCCACAAAAAAACAAAACAAAACAAAAAAAAAATCCAACACAGTCAGGAGAGCCTAGCCCTCCTCTCACCTCCCAGCACCTTCACCCCACTGTACCCCGAATATGTCACCCCTTTATATGAAGACCCGTTTTCAACTCCTCACACGTACACACCTTATACACAAAAGGGTTTAAAGAGAAAGACGCAGCCTCATGCAATCCTGTGCAATAAATATTATGTGCAATGAAAAGCGGGCGAAATGTGGAGGAATTCTACCTATTTGAAAGGGTAACTGGAGGATCCCAAAGGACATATCCCCAGCCCTGTAGTGTCCATTTATGACATTTAATTTGAACACGATACTCTTTAAAACCGCATTATCCCTAAATGATATATAAAGACATACAATGGATCTTATGTGCAAAAGGGTATTTTCGATCAAACTGAGGACCCTGATCCGCGGGCATGTAATGTGATGCCTTGGAGTTTTGCTAAATGTAGAGGCACCAAAAGTATCAATCAATATGTGCTTGATTTATTAACTAAAGAATAGCTCACCATTTCTGTCCCTTACAAACCCAGGACAAGTTAATTCACTGACTAGGAGAAAGGTTTCATTTTGAGGGCTGTAGAGACTGAAAGGAACTAGGGTGACAGGTCATAATGCAGAGCTATATTTAAATATCAAAAATCATTTTTGTAATTCTTTGCCCACGAGGGAGAGCATTTGCTGTCTATACAGAAGGAGAGGACTTACTATATGCGATGAAACACATTGGACAAGCCACCAGCAAGAAGTTGATACTTGACAATTGTCCCCATGACCTGTGTCTGGTTACAAAGGCGATGTTCATCGCCACTCAATGGGTTTAAAAAGAAATCACGTGATTACATATGTTAAAAGATATAACATATATGCAATATTCTCTTTCAGATTGCTATAAAATATTATTCGGTGAGACCTTTTGTTTGTCCTGTGTTAGCTCCCTGTGTATGTGGCGCAGCTTTCTGCTTGTATCTCTAGTCTAGTTTATTGCGGTTGTTAATGTGCATCGTTTGCAATATAGTTCATATGTGATGTTTCTTACCTCAAGCTATTATATGTAGGGCCTATGCAAATGTCTGTCATAGCACGTTCTGGCTTTATATAGTCAAGTAAAAAATTGCTTCACAATAATAATTAAAAAATGAATGTATTATTATGTGATTTCTGATAATAAATAAAATTACCCAAACATCTAGTTGGTGATTTACTGCGTACTATTAAAATTAGTATTAACCAGGAAGGTTAATAAAAGAGTAACAAAAATATATTAGCCAGCACTGTCTTCTGTGGATTGTAGATCATCTTTTCGTAAAAAATAATTAAATGAATGTGTAAAATACGTTGTAAAGGAGAGAAATATAGCTTCTTGCGTTACTCTAAATATAATTAGAAACATCCTGGGGAAATAAGGAGTATACTTTAAACTCAGAATTAGTATTTTAATGAGAATATATTTGTGTTCATAGCATTAATTGGAAGCAGATTGAACTGGGATTCTTTCTTTAAAAAACTGGACTGTTTGTATATCGAATAATAAGCACGTTCTTTTGTCTCTTTGCGGGGGAAAAGGACTTCAGAATAAATATGTCTCTGAAAGCGATTCTTTAACGATTTGACATATTTATATATATATATAGCTACACAAGGTGAACTTTGAATATAGTTGTATATTAGTTTAAAATATGAATTAAATGGGAGAGGAAGTTCTTAACATGGAAATATTTTAGAAATATTTTATAATCTTGAATTATTATTTTTAATTATTATATTAATATTAAAGGTGATCTGATTGTGCTTTCTTCATAACTGTAGGACCTGAGCAAAAAAAGCAATTTAATAAAAAAAACCCCATCAGGCTAATTATAATACATTAAGTTATGATTTTATGTGTATCTCTAGAAACCAAGATTTATATTTAATGGATTTGTAGACATTTCGTTTCTTCGGAATAAAGATAAAGTTTAGCTGCGGTGAGTGAAATGCATAAAACGCCTTTTAAAAGATCGATAAATGATATTCCCCACCCCCCACCCCCACACACAATTCCTGTAGGAAACCCACCAATGGGGGTAATAGGAGGTTATAGAATTGGCTTTGTTAACCACCCTCCCACCCCCGAAATCTATGTCTGTGATTGCTTAGCATAGCCTACCCTCTCTTGGAACAGAATGGAGAGACACCCCATTGAATCACAGCGTGAGGCAGGTAGAATAAGGTTTACTGTGAAGGCAAATCAGTGGACATAGCAAACAATAATTAATTGTACTGGGTTTAATACAGTTTCCACACTTCCTAATAGCGTGCGTATTGACGCATATAAGCAGGGTGTGTGTGTGTGTGTGTGTGTCTTCCAGCAACAGTGCTATGTTAAAAACTATAGAGATTTTTTTTTGGGGGGGAGGGGGGTCTTTATTTTTCTCTAAGGTAGCTTGATTTGGCCCTGGAGTAAGGGTGTGTGTGTGAAAAATAAATAATCAGGCATTATTTTCCCTCATATTTTATAGCATAAGACCAGCACAATCTTACTATCCTTAGTGCATCCTGCAAACATCCCAGCAAAATCTGTCAGAAATTTCCCTGAATAAGGATTGGGTTTGGAAAACATGAGTATGAAAAAAAATATTAGTTTTAAAAGTCCAAACGATTTGCCCTGTATATATGTCTCTATAGATGCATACGTGGTTCATGTCAACACAAACAAATACACTTTCCTGTTGACGTTTTTGGAAGTGTAAGTGTGTTTTAGTGTATGTTAGGTACATACAAACCCTTTACACATAACCTACTTTCCTGGTAATTTCTTTGGCAGAGAAGGAGAGAAAACAAACAAACAAAAAAGCACGGTGTGTGTGTGTGTGTGTGTGTATGCTCTCCCAAAGAAATGAGAAGGAATGTGGATTATGGCCATCAGGTCTGAATTGTGGATAGTGGCATACATTGTATAGAAAATTGTGATTTGGTTAATCCTAAGAAGGAATAGTTAGATTTCAAAGGACATTTAAATATTCACCAAAATAGATCAAAACGTA